ATATACTCTCTATCAAAACCGTATCCTGGCAAGTGATCAAGTGTATGTAGCACAGGTTACGGCGCCAAAAACTTATAGTTGATCGTTTTTTTTGTTGTAATCGTTGACAGTTAAAACATGATCATCGCAGACAAATATAAAGTCATTATTCATTCCACTTCATTCATTCCATTCGTTACTTTTCATTTAATTTCTTATTAATTGTATTTTTTATCTGCACTTCTTGCTCCTTCGACATCAGACAGTTTGTAGAGCCGTAACCTAAGCGTAAGCCGTACCTTTTATGTTCAATTACAAATGAGAGCAGCACTGTTTTCATTTTTCAAAAAAAAATTAATTTTTGGTCGTGCATAAGCTTCATTTCGTGCTTTGGCTAAGCGGTCTTCTCTCTTCCGTTTCACATCCTGCCTACACTTGTTAGATTCAAATTTTCACGCTTTTTCCAAATATGGTAAGCCCTCTTCATTTGGTTGATGACAACGAAAGATATACTATCTGAAATTTTCCCCTGAAGTATCTCGTCGTACGATGTACGGCGCGGAAGTGCATAAGTACGTGCAATTTTCCACGTTTCACGGTCGTACGTGACCAGATCCCTAGGGGGAGGTGAATCTATGACACTCAGTGTCGCATTTTTTTTGAATTTTTAATTTTTCCCTCTGGATCTCGTGACGAGACCAATGAAAATCTAGAAAAATTCCAGAAAACGTTCACATTATTCTATAATTTTAAAATTTTTATCTCGTTTTTTCTGTTCGTTCTTGATTGTTTCTTATGTTTCAATGATATGACCATGACCATCGTTTCTTTTTTTCGATATTCGGAGGTTCAGCTGATTTTCATTCTCTTGCACAAGCGGATTCTCATTTTTCATTGTTTTAAGCACTTCGTTCAAATAAAAAAAATGTGAATTTTCGTTCAGTTTGAAGAGAGTTACCGCGTATTCCGTGCTATCGTTAACATCTAATGCACCACCGTTCCATATGCTTCAGATTCTTAGAATGGAACGGGTGTCATTTCATTTTTTCGAAGAAAAAATAAATTCCCGGTGTTGAATCAGTTCATTCTCTAAGTGTAGCTTTCGAATGATCGGTCGTTTCTCACGTTTCACGTGAACGAGTCTTGAGCGAACGGTGTTGCTCATCGAATTGATTTCATCTCAATGCTCATAACTTAATGAAATCTCAACCGACGGAAACCAGAATCTTGTGATTCGGTCTTCTTATGTAGAGTTTCCAGTATGGATTAGAATGGTCAAATATGAAGTTCTTGATTTTCCAGGATTTTGTTGTCCATTTCGTTGGTTCTGTTTCGTTTCAATCAGGTGAGGTTGCAAGTTGGTAAGGTGAAGTGGCTTCATAACACCAACATCTTTCCTGTGTGGTATTTATATTTTCGAAANTCTTGTTTACTCTCCTCCGATTCAGTTTTTCAAGCTCTTTCCAAATATGGTACTCATTCTCTATTCCGTTCATTACAAAACGAGATATCCCCTCGTAAACTTTCCTGGAGAACAATCACGTAGCGTACGTCATACGATGTACGGCGCGGAAGTTGATAAGTACACGCGGAGT